CCACCTGCACGCGAGCATCGGTTCCTGTAGCGCCATTAGGGGAGATATGTAGCTGGCACAGTGGGTAAGGCCCCAAGAAACAATTAACTCCCGTGGATTTAGCAGCTAAGGGATTCAACTCACCCCTCGCAATGAGTTACTGTACTATCGAACGATCCGCCGGTTGGGGACTAGGAGATTGAAGATCCCGGCCTGTCACAATAAAGCTATAGAGAATCGGTCCTGAACCGGTAGCGCTGTGGGGTCCTACTCTGGACCATACACTTGAAGGTGGGGTTAGCGGTCATCCGGGCGGGAAAACGGGAATAGAAAAATGGGATGGGAATTAAAATGGGAAAAGAGCTAGCTTGGCTCCTTGTATTTGAGAGTAATTGCAAAAACAAGACTTCTAGCATGAAGATGTCCGAATCGGTCTGTGGGGGTGGCTAACTACAAACTGCCCTCCCACCGTCGATTGAACCTGAAACCCTACTGTATTTTCTCAAAAAAAAAAGCTAAGAATAGATGAGAAGAGTTTCGTAAGCCTTGAAGTAGGAGCTAGGAATGGCCAGAGCACAATTCCCTTCCGGTTATGATACAACCTTTTGGACTCTCCTCTGGAGCTGGGCAACCAGGAAAACAGACCAGTGGACACTAGCATGAATCCAGCCGATCCCTATAGGGGCTGGTAATCTGCCATCACAATAAATCACTCACGCTACCCGTGAATTGGCATAACTGCTGTGAAGAAAGAAGCTTGATTTTTTCTACCACATACGCAGCTGTGGGTCTTCATTCTAAACTAAGAAACAAAAGAAAAGAAAAGAGGTATCAGAAAGCCGAGTTTGGTAATATGACAATCTCGGAAGGGAGGAGGAATTTGTGAAGGCCTCGGGGGAGAAGAGGACATATGAGAACCTCAGGGGGACTGTGAATGATGAATAGTACCGGTACTGAAGGAAGTAATACCATCGTTGAATATTGGATGGTTGTGAAGTTGTGAGACGAACGGAGAAGAGATGAAGAAAAACTCAAACAGTGGCTAAAGTTAAATAGAGTGGTGGGGAGAGTACTAAGAGGAACTGGGTGAAAGGAGAGTAGTCTCTTTTGCGGATCAGCGGTAAATCTAAAATTACCGTCCTCGCCGCATCGCTTGCTGTATCATACCGATGTTGTGGAGAACCAACATGAAAGTTGGGCTCAATCCCCCGGCGAGGCCTTGGAGGTCACTTAGGATATGGTAGATATATAGCGCAATAGTGGATAGGGAGCTAATCATTCAATCAAATATATTATCCTGGAACCACCGAACCGGTATACGTCCAGCTAAACACCCCCAGTAAACACACAAATAAATAAATCACCACCGCGGGCAAACAGACTTGCCCAGAACCTTGTTAGGGGATAATATCGGAGGTATGATATGAAGAATATCAACTCTATCCGTCATACTTTCTAACTGACGGTGATAATGGTCTATAAGTAAAGCATCAACAAAGCCATGAGATCCTTTCCCGGGTCACAACATCCATCTCCGTGATTCCACACATGTCCACAGTCTTCCACAGTCTTCCACACAATTCTGTGATAACAAAGGAGGGACTGATCGTAGAATCTTCTCGAGCAATCATCCAAACTCTCAACCATTCCGAATATTCCGCCACACTCCCGTATCTGCCAAACTAAACCATAGCCTTCCACAACTGCAACTTAATACAAGGTTCACAAAAGTGGCAAACCCCAGTATAACCAACGCCACTCAGCGCGCGGGCGTCTGTTTGCCGGGCTTGAGTCAGCTGAAATAGGCGATCTCGCCAAAATCTCTCCCTCATCCTGCATGTAGCAAGCAGTATCAAATCACCGGTAGTCCTCTGGTGCATGCCAAGCTAATGTAACCCGGATCCCCGTGTGTCTATTGTGATCCGCTAGATGGTAAGAACGGGCGACACTGAGGGAACGAGGGGTAATATACAGTCCACTGAAGCTAGCCTAAAGCCTAGTAGATGGTATCAGGTTCAGGTCCTAAGTCCTGAGGGTATCATGATAGAATCTTATGGCTTTCTACAGTCGTTCACCAAAAAATATCCTAAATTCCGTTGGCTACATATCTCTATACTAAAAGAGAATCGTTGAAAAGAGTGCTCCTCACTCCTCTCCCAGAGCTGGTTGGGTATGGTGGCTAGCCATTTGCAAAAATGGTCTGTCCCACCGGTACAAAAACCCCGCGTGAATTTTGCGGACACAGCAATAGTTCAAAAAAGAGAGACGGGATAGGTGTTGGTGCCCTATAGATTTGGTTTTTGGGACTCAGAGGCCTACTGTTAGGGGGAAGCTGCCGCCACAGAGGTTTATTGACGTTAAAGTCTGTGTTGTACCCCTTCAGCGAACCCAATGCTGGATACAGTAGCTTCAGTCCCTCTCTTCCTCCCAATCCCCTAAATACCCAACGCACTTTTTCCGTACATTTTGTGCCACCGGTTTACGGGCGTACCGACTATCATAACACAGATGCTAATATAGTCTCACCATTCTGGTTCAGCGTGGCTCAAACAGAGAATTGGTAGCTCATAAGTCGTGGGAAATGACCTGTAGTGCTAGCGCCAGCTCAAAGGGTGATTCACAAGAGGGTTTGGTGCTTCAGAGACAATAGGGGTCCTCAACCCTTGGACGAGGTCAAGACGAGTTCGGGATGGTGATTCGTGAGCAAAAGCTGGTTGGCGCAAATCTTGTTTCACACCTCAGCTGAACTCAGCTAAACTCACCCCCCATCCAGCAAAAGTAGAGGATGGACCCATAATGCACTTAGAAGATGAACTGAGTATTCCTGCACCAGCTCTGGTTCGGTAGAGAAAACTGATATCTTTCCTCAAACTTGCTGCCTAGTTTGCGAATCCAATTACAGTACCGTAGCTGTTTTGCTAATGGCAGATCAACATTTTCTTACCTCATCCAAAACTCGCCCCGGGGTTGAGGACCCCTAGTCTGTACCACGGTAGCGCACGTGCAGTGCAGTAGCAAGGCAGAATTGAGGGTGGACACTTTTGTACTAGTACAAGTATAGGAACTATCATACCATCCCAAGTGCTCAACTTCGACTCAGCCGTACGGTAGTCTATCGAGCCCGACAAAAAGACAAGGTGCGAACACTAGCGTTGAAAAATTCTCCGGCGAAAAAGCATTCCGCACTTTGGAGCCCCAATCGAGTGTATGTGAAACCGCCCTAAAAATAAAAAAAAATCCACCCGGGGACTAGACAAAGATATCGACCTCTCTGTGTTTTTAGCAATAAGATCTTGCCCACCGAATAGGGTAATTTTAGCAACTCTTGCTGTACTGTACTTAGAGTAATACTGCACGTAGACTCAGTTCAATTATTTCAAGGCAACTGATGAGACCTCCGGGATAAGTCCTTGAAGAAGATTGACCTTCTCTTCAATGTTTACGGTAATTTAGGAGTGGGTATTATCACTGTGCATCTAATGGTCCTTGGCCTAATATAGGTTTCTACCGCCGATAATGTGACAACAGCACCACCGATTATCCCAATAGCCGCCTTATCGGGGGAATCTAACTGGTCTCCGACATCCTTATTATACTACTTTCTAAGTCAGGCACTCACTCAGTAGTGCTGTCGCAAGGGAACAAATGCAGTACTCATCCTACGGGCAGGTAACTTAGATCCCGATCCAAGAGGGGAAAGCCCACCGAAACAACAGCACAACAACCCCGAGAGTGGATATATATTCCAACACAGTGAACCGCCTAAATAGGCTATCTTACTGTACATCAAATTTTCCAGTGGTAAACTTAGGTGCAATCAGTCTGCCAACCAGCTACGGAACGCACTTATGCATACCCGTAGACTTAACCTACGAAGAATAGTGAAGAAAAAGAAAAAAATGCAAGAGCCGTTCCACAAGTATTATACAATATAATGGCGTGTTCAGAAGAAAAACGTAATTTATCCACCACAGTTGAAAAAGGAAAAAACAGAAAACCGGCCCGGTCCAGGTCGAACAATATACAAGGTGCACAACTCGTTTTAACCGTGATTTCAAATCGAACATACTAGATTCACTCTATATTATTATTACTATTATGAAGAACCGCGCCAAGCCGGGGAATCTAGAACCCCACGGAAATCAGGATTCAAATCACGATTCATGGTTGGTCGGTCGGTCGGTCGGTCGGTCGGTCGGTCGGCCGGCACCGCACGATTTGAAAACCACAATCGGATTCATCGGATTCGTCAAACGCCCCCGCCACTGTAAAAGTTTTTTTCTTTCCAAATAGAGTTCCCAATTCCGAGAGATTTTAGCTTATCAAATGACACCTAAGATGCCGTTGCAACTGGGTATCGAGAATCGCCGGGTCCGGGTCAGACGGGACAGATGGTCGCCGAATGATATCTCGTGTGGATAACTTGAATAAATATGCTATCATGTGACCGACGAGTTCGCTCCGGGGGGTTATGCCTGACTTTCGGGTCGAGGGTCACAACCGAATGTCGTGCCGAGGTGAATGCTGAGCTCGAGTACTAATATATCATGGCTTTTTATGTCGGAGGTCGTACGGAGGGTGCCGGTACAGCACAGTACAGTACTAAGAGGGCGGAATATGGCTTTGAGATGTGTGGATGGATGGTGGATTGAGAGGCTCTGTCTTGCTTGTCCTGCAGGATACGGCACTCGAGTCCATCCTGTTTATGCTACCGGTAAATTTAACAAGTTGGGTGTGTATATGTCAACACGGCTATTATCGCTTCCCATATCGTAATGTTCCAGGTTGTGCGATAGGTGTACGGATATGCCTATTTTCCATCACATCGAAGCAATACCTCAGTCACTCCACCTCCAGGGCTCTACGAGTGATATATTATGCGTAGGCGGGGGAGTTTATATTGACTGCTTTTCGTGCTTATGCTAGCAATCGTTTATCCCCTCCACACATAATTTTCCGCGCATATTGGCAAACACTTGGCTCTAGTAATAGTAATTCAATCACTCAAACGACAACACGAACGACAGTAAACCCATTAATTAGAATAGCGGTGCTCAGACAAAAACGCAGTACTGTGCCAATGCAATAACCTAACACTCATGATAACCTCCCACCAACACAACATAATACCCAGACAAACAATGGCATAACAACTCTACACCCAATCTATTTTATTTCGTGAAAAAGAGAGAAAGAAAGGGAAGACGTTCAGAGGGAACAAGAGACAACCATAAAAGTAACCAGGCTCATGGCCCCGACCAAACCACTTTTCCAAGAAGTCTATGTTCAAGAATATGCCGAGGACCCGAAAACCCATGGGGGAAAACACCACACAAATAGTTATTAATAAAAAAGAAAAAAGTATTAACGGGTAGAAAAAATTCAAAGAAGGAAACGCTGAAAGAGATTAGATGATGCCCTCTACGAACTCCAGCCCGCTAACCCTCTCCTGGATCCATCGCCGACTACCAGAGCTCTGTCGCTTCCAAGCAAGGACTGGCCAGAAGCGTTCGTCAACACGAATGGAGACAACGCTAGTGATGCCCTTGCGGTTAACTTGCTTGAGACGAATATACTCACCAGTCTTCCACTTCCTGCTCTTGACAACGCCAATGAGGTCGCCGATGCTGGAAATGGAGACCCCGTCGACTTCCAAGATCCAGTGGGTCGGACGGATGTTATCGAGGGCCGGAGACCCGTATGATACACCCCCGACGTAGACGCCAGGGGCCTTGATAGGGATGAGCGGTGATGGGTTCTTAGAATCCACCTGCTCGAGCGCTGCAGCGTGAGTTGCGTGAAGGATTGCACCAAAGAACTGGACGACATGGGTCCCTGTCGAAGGGTGGGCGAGGGTGGTTGGGACGGTCAGGGTGAGTTCTTCACCGCCGCGGAGGACAACCATTTCGACAGATTCCCTCGAGTCAAGGTTTAGTTCGGTGAGTTGAGAAACCCGGTGGATTGGCTTGCCGTCAATCTCCAAGATGATATCTGCGATCTTCGGACACTTGTCCTCGTCCTCTGGAGAGACTGGTGATGGGCGAAGATGCGACTCTACAATAAGCGGTCGGGGAGCACCGCGAATCCTCTTTGCTGCCTTGACATAAGCATCAAATCTCTTCCGTGAAAGTCCCATGGTGGACACGGTCGCGAGCGACATGTCAGAGAACTCAATTCCGAGATCCCGGCGAGGCGGCTCAACAGGCCCAGTGGCCAGTTCCTCATTGATACGAGTGACGACCGGAAGAACATAACGACGAATATCAAGACCTTGGGTCCAGAAAGAGTCATCACCATTCTTGTTCTGCGACGAAATAGTCATGTAATAAGCTGCAACCTTCAAAATGCGCTTCTCCTCATCCGATGCGGTCTTGGATGGCTTGCGCACAATAACGCCACCCCAGCAGCCCGAGGACTCAGAGACATTAATATTCTCGACGTTGATCAACCTGTGACGCGGGGGATTGCATTGCCAAGTATTGAAGTTTACGCCGATCGATGCAATGGAAGTCTCCTTCTGGACAAGGAGCTGATCTGATGTCAGACCGACCACCTTGACCTCATCGCGCACCTTGAGGGGTGTTGTGTCCCATTCCGGCACGCTGACGTTCTTGGAGAGATTTTTGTTATCAAAAGTGACAAGAGTAAAAGCTCCGAGATAGACGACCTGTCCGGGAATGTTCTTGTTTGAGACCGTAAGACGAATATCCAACATTTCCGCTGGAACAGATGACCTATCAAACAGGATCAAGGGGACGGGTGATAGTGACACAACCATGCCAACGCCCGAGTAGTTGGAGGCAGATGTGTGGCCGTAGATGGAGTATGGGAGACGGCAAACAACATTAACAAGAGAACCCTTAAGCTTCTCAAGAGCCGCTTCTTCCGCTTCTTCCTCGTCGCCCCCTTCAGCGTCAATGGCATCCTCATCCTTGATTTCCGGTGCACAGAGAACTTCCTCTGGGGGCGAGGCCCCAAATTCTCGCCTGACCCATGTTCCAGCCTTGTCATTTCTCACAAACAAGGCAGCGAGGAAGAAATGCCGATCGATATCGACCATCATCATTTGATCTTCGCTCCTACCCATAGACCTAGTCATAAAGGGTACCCGTTTGTAGTCTGGGATCTCTCTAATGACCTCAATGAATTGGTCCAAATTCTTGGTAGGTTTTCCATCGACAGCAGTGATCAGGAAATCTCTGCTCCACGAGGACCACAAAAGGAAACCGGAAGCTGGCAAACCATCAGCATGAGGAATTTTCGTAAGCGCAAATGGCGAAATGAAAATCTCACCCGCACAGAATACGCCAGTCCCAAGTTGGACGTTGTGATTTCTACCCATCTGATAACTCAAATCATGGATCACGGCTCCGCCAATTTCCAGGAAGCGGCTGGGAGTGATAGTGTGCAAATCCTGAACAGTGCATACGACCTGTAGCCTCCCGGTGGCACCGGCCTTGCCCTCCTTTCCAGCACGGAAAATTTCGAGTACAATATCCTCTCCAACAGTGTCATCAATGATGCTCCAAAGCCCAATAAAGTCCGTGATGTGCTTTCCATTACAGGTAAAAAGGATATCCCCAGGCTCCAATCCGGGAACCCTGGTTACACCAGCCGGAACAGCAAGTTCCGCCTCGCTCGGGAGTTGCTTCCTGTCTGGGCTCGCGGGACCACCCTTGAGAACCCGGATAACACCAAGGAGACCCGTAGCAGAAGGATTCCTAGCCCTGCATCCCTCCTCCATCAACTCCGTCAAACCGAGCCTTCGAAGTTCATCATAGCTATGGTGCAAAAACTCGGTTTGCAGGGTACCACGGCTGACAGCCTCCCCCCTCTTAATTTTCTCCACCGCGCGCACGACCCTGTGCAACGGAAGATAGAAAGAACTCTGGGAAGAGTTACTCCCTCCAGCATTCAAGGCCACAGCCTGGCCATTAATATTCAGCACCGGGGAACCGGAGGACCCACCGGAAGTCCCGGAGGCGGCCTGCATGTAGAAGGTATTAAAATCGTTGTAGGAGTCGGTTCCGTAACTTGGGGCATGGCGATCGAGCCTCGCGAGGGTAGAGCCAAGAATCGACAACTTCTCGCCAGCATCATTACCGACGACCTTGATGTCCTCGCCCACACGAGCGAGCTCCGGTCGGAGCTCGATCTCTTCGACACTAATATGCTTCAATTTCGATGGATCATATCTGAAGATGCCAAAATCGTGGGTTGGGTCACGATAAACGGGTTTTATTGGCACCTCCTCGTAATTAACAAACACGGCAACCGATGTGATCGGTGCTGGTGACACCACATGGCGGTTGGAGAGGATAAGGCCGTGCTTCCTGGAGATCACGAACCCTGTTGCAGTGTAGTCACCGGCTGATTCCGTATCGAAGGGTCTGGTAGTTGTCGCTTTAATCGAAACAATGCCTTTGATCACTCTAGCGATAGTCCTATCCCACGTCTCCTTGTCAGATGTCGAAGAAACAGCGCTCACACCGGAGATGACGCTCATCGCCGACATGCTCCTGGATAACGGCGGTGTCGGGGGGGCATTGATCGCCGGCGTGTGTCTTGTTTCCGGGGGAGGCTGTTCGATCTTAGGGACTGATATCTCAGGTGCCGACTTCTCCTCTTCACTCGGGGTTCCTGCCTCGACCCTTGGAGCTTCATCTCCGGCGGCCGGGACCACTAGGGCGACCATCTTCTTTGGTTCCCTCCCCTGTAGATCCGCTAGGGTGCTCGGCACTTTGGATGAGGAGGATGCCGAGATTGCCAGCTCGCTCCCCTGCAGTGGGAAGTAGGAATCAGCGGTGCGTCGAAAGGCAGAGTCCAATGCCCCCGTCTGAGGTGTCTTGATGATATTCTGAGCCGGGACTGGTTGTAGGTATTGAGGATAGGGTGTATTGCTGCTCGACTCATCCATAACGGCCAACTTATAGGTTTGTGATTGCGATAAGATTGCCCAGAGAGTGAAGTAGTGCCATAAATTGCAGAGAAATAGTGTTGAAAAACAAAGCTCTAGCAAAAAAAAAAGAGGGCAGGTGGGAGCCTATAAGTACCCTTGCCAGGATACCGAGATAGGTCCAGTCGCTGTGATTCACGCTCGCCCCGGCCTGAGGGGCGGCCGGGACCAAATGACCCGAGTCAATTCTAGGGCAGAGTTCATCATACGGTATAAACCCCATGACACTCGTGTCCAAAATGACCACTCCCTTCGAAAAACCCTGCGGGAAAGAAAAAGAATCCAAGTTATCTACTCGAGCACTGAATTTTTTGTTGGTTCCACGCCTATTGTAACTTAACCTGCTGGTCCCGAGGCGACAAACAAACAAACAACTATCTTCCCCTCGACCCGCCTGGGCCTGCCGCAAGACAAAGGCGCTCGAAAAAGATGGCAGCGATCAGTCGAGTACCTGTAACGAAGCGTCCTGAACTCAACCGATTGGCCCCCTTCCTTCCTTCCTTCCTTCAGGTTGATCAGAAGCTGGTCTACCAGAGTCTGCTACACGCCGCGACAAATCATTGCTAGACAAATCATTGCTACTCACCGGCCTTTCCCTCCTCTCCGGGGACACACAGTAGACACGCTGTTCAACGCGGTTGCAGTGTGCCTCCTTTCTTTCTTGGGGCTTGCTTCTTTCAATCCGCTATACTAGCCGACGGAAGAGGGTATTCTGCTTCTACTTCTCACCCCAACAGCTCACTTTCCAAAAGACTTACGGGGGTGTTTGTGTTTTTGAAAGCAAAGAAATTGGGATATCCTACACTCCTCATGGGAGCAAAGTTAGACCCACCAAAAGGTTGAGGGAAGGAAGAGAAACGCGGCTACTGAAAAAGAAGTGCTTATGAAATCCCTCCCGGCCTCCCTCCCCGCTGCGCCCGATAATCACAAGCTGGATCCCCTTCCCCCGCATAACGTAGGCCCCCGGAGCAAGAAAAAAAAGTGCGTATAGACATGGCCGCACTATGATACAAAAGGACAGTGGAACGGAAGAAAAAAAACATTGATAAAGGCCCAGGTACCGGTATCAGGGTGCTGGTACGCAAAACACGCTACCGTACCAGCAGGTGGCGAGATATTAGTACAAGTACGTTGAACGTTGACCTGGACATGCACTCGAATGCGGTGGTACAGTGAAAAAGCATGCAGCCCACAGCAGCCCGTGCACCGTTCCCGGAGCCCAGTGTTGGCATGAAGGGGGGGGGTTACGGAGTGATAAAATCAACGGAGGCCTTGGAGCTCACATTAATGAACCCCCCCTTCGAAGGTCTGAAGGGGTTTAGAAAATCCATAAAAATATGCTACAATAGCTGAATCAAGACTGCAATGTTGTACAGCCAAAATGAAAGAGTTAAAGAGAAAAAGGTAAATAAAGAAAACTGATTCAGAATATATCCTTCAGTTGCCCTCAACACTTCTGCATCAATAAATCACTATCACCTTCAAAAAACTCTGATGGAGCCGAAAAAAGGGAAAAACATCAAGAAAGTCAGCCTTGGCGAACCCCCCTTGATCCCGCCAAGGCCTTCGTCGCAACATTGCCGGAGCCAACAGGTGGCGTTGCACGAATCGGAGACCCTGTTTCCGTCGGGGGTGGACCCTGAATTAGCGGAAATGAATCGGTGAAACCGAGATTTCGGACGGCTAACGGCAGTTGCCCCAGAAGGACACTCTCACGGTTGGATGGGGAAAAACTATTCTAGAAAAACTGGAGAAAAACAAAGGCAAGAAACAACGCTCCGGAACGGTGTTGCCACAAATCCGAGAAAAATCAAGAAGCTCAAAAGGCCGGAGATATGGACAACTTGGGTCAGGGGAACGGCTCCTTGACCCACTGAAAGGTTTTTTTTTTTTTTGCCCCTCGGGCGGAAGCAGTACGGTAACCACCAGTGGGGGATTGCGGTCACGGATGGAGGGGTGGGTGTGATATTAGTTCTACACGGAGCGGGTGACGAGGTCAGCCGGTATACGGTTGCTAAAGGAAATGCGTGTTACCGGTACCGGTATCGTACTCGTACAGTGCTTCGCCGGTTGAGTAAACTCGTCTGCCATCACGGGTAAACTATACCGACACTCGGATTAAAGAACCGTGTGCAATATACCGTACCGGTATTTACCGGAATAATTGAACCTCCCTAAGACGTCCAAAATTCCCTCTCTTGGATAGGGGCATCAAAAACTGGAATCGAGTCCATTCATAGCCATGATACTTTAGCAAAGGGGGAATAAATAAATAAAGAGAAAAAAAATTCCCCAGCCCCTCCGAGAGACCAAAAAACAAAAAACAAAAAAAAAAGGCCAGGCCTTACCAGAGGAGGGACCCCAGCGACATAACAGTAATGCTTGGTTGGATTACTCGAGTTTTCCTGGTACCGGTATCATATACTGTACTGTAATGCATACTTCCCGGAGTGAGCAAATGAGAAAGCTTGGGCTCAGCCGGCCAAAATTTTGTGAGTGTAACCATGGAACCGGCCCGTCTTGACAGTTGTTTTCGGGGGCAAGGAAGGTCGGGCGAACATTGAAAATTCGGAAAACAGCAAGGACCCACGAAGCCAATGGGAGTAAACTCGCACCACCATACCCGGTACGCCACCCTACTTTATCACCACCGGACCAGTACCGGTATTCCAGCTCCCCACGTTCCACCCCCTCCTTTCTTTTCCTCTTTTCTTCGTTGATCTCTATCATATAAGAATCGGTGTGGGTCACGAGCGCTCCTCTGCCGTGAGCATGGCCACCCCACCAGTACCGTACTCGAGTACTCGAGTACTGGTACTCCATTGGAGGTATTCCGTAGACCGTTGACTTTGCATTGCGAAATCCCACTATTCATCCCCTCCCATCTCATCCGTGGCATACCGGTGCACGGGTACCAGTACGGTACTCGCCAAAATCAAAAGTCTGTCCCCGAGGTATAACCGCCGGTGGCAACTCGGCAATTACTCCGCTCTGACAACCCCGACGACGGGAGAATTCTGTTGATAGCATTGCCCATAAGTGAAATATCACTGGAAAACGGGTCACTAGTGATGTCCAGAGGTTATGAGAGGTGAGCCCTATGAGCCCCAATTTTTACAAACAGGGTGTGGTTCGGTCGGTTGCGCCTAGGTGAAGGTCGGGGACAGACTTTTGATTTTGGCGAGTACGGTAGTCAACCGTATCAATCGCGCCCATAGCACCGGCCGCCGAACCCGGTAGTCGGATCGGATGGATCTCGGAGCTCAGGATGATTCGAACACTACGAGCGCAGTACCCGTACTTCGATCACATGTCGAGCCCTGATAAGCTTGCAGGCGGCCGATATGCGAGTCTCAGGAGAAAAAAGGCAGACAGACTGTAGCCTCGCTCTGCCCTGCCTGTCTCACGAAACGAGCCGCAGGCCCTCTCTTATGAGCAACTCAGCTTCGAGAGGTACGGCATGCGGGTGGCGAAAAAAAAAAAGCAATATTGGAAGAATAAAGTTATCTCCTGGATCCATAAGACATGGCAAAATCTCTCTCATGCATTAGCGTCTACGGTTCAACCCCTTATAGCTAGATCATCACCGCCCTGGTATTCACGGTATCTACTTCGGGTATTGGAGGTCATGAGCCATGTGACGATTTAGCCATAATGAGTTAAACTTTTTGCGC